AATTTTCCAGTTGTATATTGTAACAGATTCGGTGGTTGGACTTGTAAGTTTTTATTTTGCTTAATTTAATTATACTATTTTTATGAAGATTAAGTATATATCTTTATAATTTGTTTTGATCAGCGAAAAAATCTAACAAAATCAGAAAACAATGATCCTTTTTTTCTTTCTTGTAAGAGCATGGTCGGACAAAAAAAAATTTAAGTAAAAAGATTTCCCCTTATATAACTAGTATTTTAAAGAAAAATGGACCAAATTAATAAATAAGTATTACACGTAATTAGGTATTCGCTTAATTTAATGATTCCCTTGTTCATGCCAATAATGCAATGTCAAACCACACATATATACACAAACAAGAATGATTAAAATATACATTTGATCACGATCTAATATATGGTATTGATATATAGTTGTGGTAAAATAATCTACACTACACCTTGGCCAATATTAACAATCGATAGTTCTGCTTCATGGGGATTAGTTTAGTTAAGCCCTGGTTATCCAAACTAAGTTTAAAAGACAAATATAGGAGTGTATGTCATATTGTTGGAACTAGGAAGTGAGTTTTGGGCTCTTTGCAAACAGTTAAGAGTTAACTAACCTACGAACATGTTGCTGCTTTTGTCAATATGGCCATGTTTGGGAGGCCCTCTGTACCTCAACTCTTAGAAAATACCTTGGAGATACAATTGGCGTGTAGTCCCTCTCTTAGACCTACGGAAGAAATGTAAAAATCATTTTTGTTCGGATTCACGGAACTCCATCCTCGGACTCTATATTTATCGATCAATCGCTTTGAACATGCATCGAATATTAAATGCAACCATGTTAAACAAATCATCTTTTGATAGCTCTATGCGTATGACACGCTTCATAGGGTACTCGGATGCGCCACGTCCCATTCATCGAAAACACATTGAAGTAGTCGCTTTGTACATCTCTAACCTCGTTCAATAATTTACTGTAAAATAGAGTGATGAAGAAACAAAAAATGATTACTCTATAAATGGAGTAATGGATTTTTTATTTCTTCATCACTTCATTTTCCATTCCATTTTACAGTAAATTATAGAGTGGAGTTAGAGATGTTCTTATTGTCTCACAGTTAGCATGAGCCGACCTCACCCCTGAAAACTAGAAGACGCTTGTTATGTTACCTCCTGATGCACAAAATACAGTGAATGGAACTTGAAAAGCTAAAAGAGTAGCTATACATATATGTGATGAGGTAAAAGTAGTTAAATCGTTGCTTGTGCATCAATGAAATCTGTGAACTTTGTATAAACAAAAAAAAAAAAGACTTGTGAAGTTCAGTGCGAATATTAAGCTCCAATGGTTAACATTATAATTATCATATTTTCATTTATTCAACATAACTGGATTTGCTATATTAGTAACAAAATGTCCGCATTATTCATAACTCGCATAAATGGTTATCTATAGTTTCTTTAGCTAAATCTTTGGAAATCAAGTGGATAAGACCTTACAACGATAAATAATTTAATCAATAAATAAATTGACCTATATATAACATTATAAATATTCCTATTGCCCTTTGGGATTACTATATAGCCAACAATATGTTTTATCTATATCTTCGCTGCAAATGAATCTGCATGTTTATATCTTTAAAGGCGAATTTATTTGACGCCACAAAAGGGCAATTCCTTTTTTCGGAAATGGATGGGCCAAGAAAAATAATTGTAGAACATGATTCGGAATCCTTTGCGAGAGAACACGCGTTTTGTTGTCGCTGGTTTGATCATTTTCCGAGCTGACGCCAAACTCATCTTTGCAATCTCATTGTTCCACGTACAATATAGATAGATAAATAGACCAATACCCCGAATATATGTAAAGATAAATTTGTTGTTCAGTTAACTTGTTCTTGGCATCTACCTTTATGCATGCATGTTTTTAAAAAAAATTTGATAACTATGTGCAATTTGAGTTGCAACTTGCAACCACGCGACGTACGGACGATTGTACATGCCGTGGTAATATGTGATGCCACGATCCGTCCTCGCGATCTTTATTTTTATCATCGTAATTTATACAGCTTATATATTGTAAAGATACTTTTTTATAGATCATATATATCTACACGGAAGAATATATATCGATTCAATGATCTCCATATATATCTTACATTTTCACATTTTCATCTGTCCGTCCATATATATTTATACATTTCATTACACAACAACTAGAATATATACACCCCCCCCCCTTCCCCTAATTTGTGTGCAACCGTATGATTTTGGTCCCTGTAAAATTAATTCATATATGATCACTCGTCTATTTGTACAACCAAAAAGTTAAAACTTTGTCGGAAATTTAGTATTTTATAACTCTTGAGATAGTACTACAGTATATAATACTTGAATCACACATATCCATCAAAATGTATCTAGACCCGATTGTGTTATGCAATCTAGAGTATTAAACAACATTTTCTTAAGAAATGATTCACTTAGTACTCAGTAGTTGGGATTAAACTAGTGTTCATATAATTGATCTCATATGGTGAATTTTTTGGAAACTAAATACAAAATAAATTGTAGGGACTGTCACAAAAAGAATATAACATTGTAGATATTACACCATGCATGCATGAACCCAATTAAATTGGCCATTGGTCTTCTAGTAGGCCAAATTTTGAGGTCCAGGAGTCGTGCATTGCAACTATCATCGAATCTATTAAATTTCGTATTCTGACATATACGTATATACAGTATATATGTCAGCAAGTGTAGCATCTGCAGTTAGAAAAGAAAAAAGGTTCGTTTGTTTATTGGATAAATGTTCTTTTAACGTGCTTGTAGCCATCAACACGCTGAAAATTGATTCGTTATATCGGTAAAAACGTCAAAAGAGTCATATGTTATGTCGTAAATCTTAAAATCATGGGTGGCAATAGCTAGGGTTACAAAAATTCAGATTTTAATTAATCATTTTGTAAATCTATATTAGTTTAATAATTTCAAAAACTGATTAGCACCTTTTTTTGTCACTTATTAGTTATTAGCACTTGTTAATACATAAGCTCTTCTGGCTTACCTCCTGACTAGGTCTCTCCCAGTTTAGCCTTGTCCCTCTTTGTAAAAAATGTTTATGAGGTTTTTACTAATCTACTAGCTAGCACGATCGATCACCTCGTTGCGCCTTCTCTCCCTCATGTATACAAGTAACGGATGAGACAATTGCATGGCATCACAAAATGGCCGTAAACGTTTTCTTGAGGTAGTAATACAGCATATGTAGCCTGAATTTTTTAGTGGCACAAAATAGGTTAATTAGCATCACGTATGTTTGCATTTTTTGGTCAACAGCATGTAAGCATTTTTAAACACAGCTTTGCAATAGCAGAACCCCTATTCAAAACAGATTATTTTGTCGAGGATAATGTGGTCGAGTGGTAAAGAGAGAGGGTGGAACACTAACACGTTTCAGGTTTGATCCACCTGCTGCGCAAAACTAAATCATATTGTTTTTGGACACTTACACAGATATGGATCCATGCTTTCGGGTCCATTTGAATACCGGAAATAAAATATTTGTGGACCGCACCCCTTAAAAATTAGTCTGAACCCTTCCATAGGTCTTAGAATACCCTAGATTAATCAAAAAAAAAAAAAATAGCTATTTGGAAAATCACCACATACCAGCCATGTCTCCTTTTGTAATGCTGTCGAGACTCGAGACCACCGATACTTTTAATTTAGTGATTCTCAAAATAATGTTTGGCATGTTGCCATGGAGTATGGCCTATGGAATGAATTCGTCTAGGCCACGCGCATCTTATCCGACCATCATGGGACCAGATCACGACATGGTCGTCTAGGTAGAAGATCTACATATATAAACTGATCTTGGTTTTGTTGTTTGTTTCCTCCCATCTCAAAGATCATGGGCAGATGGGCTATATGCCTATATCCATGTATTTGATGTTTATATGCATGAATATACCAAAAAACAAAACATTATTATAAAATTTAGAATGAATTTTCTAGGTATAAACCAATATTAAACTAGCTATGATCGGTGAAACTATGTATTTCCAAACAGAATGATGGAAATCTAATGAATCTGCATGTTGCATGAGAAAAAGTTATGAAACGGGGACCTCGAGGGCATCTATACGTACAACTGTACAAGTATTTGTTTTCATTTTCATACGTATTCTCCACTCGTTGTCCTTAAGATTCGTTTGTCACAATGAAAGCTAATGAAATGCTTAGCTCATATGTAGAATCTCTCTCTCTTTTTTTCTCTCTTATAATTATTCACAATAAGCTTTTTGCGAGTTACAAAATGTGGAAGTGGCGAGTCGAGAATAGAATTCTCACGTAGAAGAAGACGTGTCATAAGGAAAAAAAAAAAGAAACCCTATTTTGGATAACTATTTCTCCAATTCACAAGATGCCACTTTGATAAGCTTTACCTATTCCATTTTTGTTTTTGAGAACATATATAAAAGAATATATATATATATATATATATATATATATATATATATTGCATATGCAAGAAACTCAATTATACTTTTAAGCCTTGGAATAAATATGCTAGGAACGATTTAGGAAGTTTCAATGTTTTTAATTCATAAAAAAATTATGATAAATCAAGCATGTTTTACCTTGTTGAGCCACAATATTGATGAGTTCTATATAATGGTTTATGATTTTCTTATATTAATTGAGATCCGCCAGAACGCATTGTGGAACCGTACGAGCTAAGGACATTTCCACCTTTTAGCCAAGACGAAATACATACATATGCCAAATAGAAAATTATTAGTTGAAAAAATAAACTTTCAAAATCATTAGATTCTCTTTACTTACCTTTAGTGATCCCAAAATAAAACTGAACTAATGTCACTGTCGGAAGTGATATCGTTAGAAACAAAATCTTAACATATTGTCCGATCTAATCCAATAACCATATAGTCTTCTCTCTGCCTCTATATAAACACTTCCAACCATTTTCATATCCACACAACATTCTCACAAAAACCTTATTCTTCTAGTCGAATCAAGATTTTTGTTTTCCCTTAAATCTTTTCGATCTTTTCCCTACACATACATATTAATTCTTAAACTTAGTTAAAACACAATGGAGATGATAACGAAGATGGTTTTGGAGAGACCAGTGGTAATATACAGCAAAAGCTTATGTTGTATGTCTCACACGGTCAAGACTTTGCTCTGCGACTTTGGAGCCAATCCAGCGGTTTACGAGCTAGATGAGGTGTCTAGAGGCAAGGAGATTGAGCAGGCGCTCTTGCGGCTCGGGTGTAGCCCGGCGGTTCCGGCTGTTTTTATTGGAGGAGAGTTGGTGGGTGGAGCCAACGAGGTCATGAGTCTACATCTTAACGGATCCTTAATCCCTATGCTTAAGCGGGCTGGTGCATTGTGGGTTTGACTTAAAATATATCTAACTAGTTACTTAACACTAAGTTAAGTACGCAGAATAATGTTTTTAAATTTTAACACGTCTATGATCTTTTGACATGGTGATATGATGAGTCCACGTCAGATCAATAATCAGGGTGTTATTGTTTTCAAAGTTACTTATCTTAATTTTGAAATGTGCAAGCAATTATATGAACTTGTAAGGAGCTAATATAATAATAATGAAAAAATAAAATTACAAAGTGTTTTGTGTTGTGTTGGTATTTGTCACTGTATCAAGTTGAATTCAGTATAATGCACATTGTTAACAAACAGAACAAGATTGCAAGCTAGGCCAAATTATATAAGATTATAAAGAACATAGAATTTGAATGACTAAAAATAATTTTAATCAAAATTTTTGGATCGGACGCCCAAAAACCAAAGCATAAACAACATTTTGATACTAGTAAATATATTAAATAATAATAATGCATTAAATTAATAATGTTCATTTCATATATTTTTTTAATTAACATAAAGTGTCTCAGACTTAGGAAAGGACTAAACTAATAGTCAAATGGAGGTATAATCCATACATAAATTATCTTCTATATGTTCAAATAGGCTAAAACAAGAATTACATCCATGTGAGTATTCATGAACAATGTATGTAATTTACTTTCACACATATAAGATGAATCGAACCTGAAAGTGGTAAGTGTTCCAAAACCATTTCTTTGTCATTTAACCAAAGTCTCCGATTAAAACTTTGGACCATTGTGTGGTTGCATTTTCTTAAAACATGAGGTCAATGCAGGTGACTTGTTTCATTTGATGCAAAGGTTACAATCTCTAGAGAACAAAGCTGCTACACAAACAAAACAAAAAAAAAGACAAAAAGAAACCTTTTCAATGTTTAAACACAAGCCTGTGTCCAGAGACAAGAACCTTTAAGAGTTGATTGAAAACCCTCTCTGTTTTGTGGATAAATATAAAAGGAAATTTATAAATCTCATTAATCAAATCAGAATTCCAAGCAAGAAGTCAAGTGACACTATAAACAGCCATTTAATGTCAGTAACTAATAAGCTTCTTACACAGAGAAACACACCAGAGCCGTAGCTCTTGGTCTTTTCTCCTACACATGTGACCTCCATGATTAGCATTTTTTTTGTTGCACACACACGAGAAACAACATTCTCACTGAGACTCTTCCTCAGGTGGTTCTTCTTCTTCTTGAAGAAGGTTCTCACGGTTGTCATGAGCCCAGAAGCCACGCACATCTATTAGCATGCTCGCAACAGTTCCACCTTGTTTACAACCCAACAGATCATCCAGAGTGATCTTTAATGGGTCAGACGGTTTCACCATGTCCCAGATCTCGTCCCTAACGTCCTCTATGCACAGCTCATAGTTCCCACCTTCTATCCATTTCTGGTGAACATCTCTGCAAGTTTTAACAAATAAGATTTGAGAGACTAATTTAGAAGAAAAACAATGAAATTATCACGTGTGTGTGTTTGTAACCAGTGTCTTTGCAGATATGAGACTCGCGGAACAAAGCTCAGCTACCGCAAGCAGGAAATGCAGCTTTTTTATATAGGAAGATTGTATCAGAGATCATCAACTCTTTGATGCTCCCTTTCTTTACTTCCATGTTTTTAAAAGAAAATCTACTCAAAGGCAAAAAAATAAAAATAAACAGATTCACTTGAGAGAGATCCATTTACCTAAAAAGAGAGTGAATATCAGCAGTGGTGAGAAAGCCTCTCCCTTGGAGATCAAGACAGCGGAATAAGTATGTCAAGCCCTCTTGAGTGTCTTTGTTCTCCAACGCAAGAACGAAATCTAGGAAGCTGTCAAAGTCCATTTCCCTGGAATTGCCTGAGCCGCTTTTGCCACGGCGAACATGCTCATCAAACACTACAAGAAAGTAAGGGGTATTATGAGGAACCTGGTGGATACACAATTACTTCAACTAGAACTATAAAAGGATACAATGACCAAAAGGTATTTTATTTTCTACCTCTTTCGATGAAAATCTCAGTTAGAGTCCCATCAGCATATTCTTTAAGTTCTTGTTTGCTCAGTGATCCGCTACAATCTTTATCCAATGCAAGAAACATATCTACAGAAGAAAGAGAAAACTCTAGATCAACGTTCTTCACAAGACAAAACGAGAATGGTTTCCAGATTATTTGCCGGTATTTAAATAGCACACTCACCACATATTCGTTGAGCTGAAGTCAAAGAGAACCAATTTTCAGCCTGTTCTGTGTCTGTGACTTCCTCCTCGCTTTCCTAACGTAGAGTACCCGAGGAACAATCAGTAAATACAAGCAAAGTAAACAATAAACAGTAGATAGAAATCTACATCTAAACTGACCTGATGCAATTCCATTAATTCCTGCAGACAGTTGCTGAGCAGTATCTTCTTAATACATGCTTTTCCTGAACGCAACATACGTCACATTCAATACATGGCGATTGAAATACTAAGTTAAGAAAATATCGCGTTGCCTCATAAATGTATATCTTTAGTGCCTACCTCGCCTATGAGGATCACAGAAGAAGAAAAACTTTTGTGCAGCTATGCGGCAATACATGTTAGTAAATGCCTCCGGCATGTCCCTTAGTTGTGCCAAATTAGGTATTAGACCAGAAATATAGGACTCCATTTCCTATAATAACAGCAAGCAGACTACTCGTAAGGAACCTGAGATTACATTTGCAACCTTTTGCTGGTAGGAGTACTCCTTAAAGCTTTAGAGCCACGTAGGTACTTACTTGAGATTGAAGGAAACCATCAGAATCTTCATCAAGCTCACTCATATCAATCCTAGCTTGTGTAAGCGACACCTGAAAAGTAGTAAACAAATGATTATCAAAACAAGCATAAACTATGGCCGGTTAAAGTAAGGAACAAGTGAAAAAAAACTTGAGGACACTCACCGTGCGCATCACATAAAGATAGAAAGGTAAAATAGCAATCCTTCCAGCCTCATCCTTCTCAAACTTCATGAAATTGGAAGGGCTGAAAAACCGACGACATTTGGGGCCTATTTGTTCAGTACATACAGATGCAATGTGACAGAAGTCTTCATAATTCATCTACATGAACAAGATTTATAGCAAATATCAGACTCATCTTTTAACTGTAAACAAACATAGTTTCAGCTCTAAAAGAGTAAAACTATACGCATGTACCTTCTCTGCACCAGTTCCATCATCAATCACACAATTTTCTCTCAGACAATTCCACATAGCAGCCAAATCATCAGAGTTTAACAAAAGATCCGATTGTTTCTGTGGAAATAAATCAACATAATGAAGTGATCAAAAACATTAAACAATACGAGGATGCAATGAAGAATCTATACCTTCAAGAAACGGTATTTTGCAAGTCTCTGGACCCTTGAGCTAATAGATCCTTCTTCTGGTTTCTGAACAAAGAGTAAAGACACAAAATTTTATTGTATATGTTCAAGAAATCTCTAGACGTTTATATAGGATTATTGTTTAGGCCGACGACTTTTGAAAGCATAGACCGACTTATTGAAAATCGGACTTAAAAAAAGTCATTTTGTTCAGACAGCCGCCTAAACCAATTTTTTTAACACTAACATGTATACTAAAGAAAAGCCAACTTTCACCAAGTGTGTAACGATGCAAGATCAATAGGCTTGTGTCGTGAAATGCAAAGACAAACATCTTATACAGTAAAACATTCATGTAAAGAGACATACCTTCTTGTAGAAGCTTGGTATCGTGCCTGCTTCTTGACTTTTCTGTTGCTTGTCTTTAAATATCTCGAGCAAGATTCTCTTCGTCTCAAGCTCTGCAACACAACAAAAACAAAACCCTTTCATCAATAACGGTTAACATAGTGTTTCTAAACACAGAACAGAGCTAAAATTATAACAACACAACACCAAAGTCAGAAACTTTACTCATTTCATCACACAACGAACTCGAAAACTCGATTAAAAACTCAAACTTTCTATGAACCCTTTTATCAAACTCAGCAAAACAAAGACTCAATAACGGTTTTACATAAGTGTTTAAAATACACAGAACAGAGCTGAATTAAATCAAAACACAACCCCCAAAGTCAGAAACTTTACTCATTTCAATCACACAACGAACTCGAAAACTCGATTAAAAACTCAAACTTTCTATGAACCCTTTTATTAAATTCAGCAAAACAAAGACTCAATCACGGTTTTGCATAAGTGTTTCAATACACAGAACAGAGCTGAATTAAATCAAACACAACCCCCAAAGTCAGAAACTTTACTTATTACATCACTCAACGAACACGAAAACTCGATTAAAAACTCGAACTTTATATTAAAGAGAGCAACTTTACGACATACCCATTAGAGCTTCGGATCCTAACCCGGCTCCGGAGCCAATATACCGTCGTAGATTTCTAACCCAGAGCATCGAGGACGCAGGAGGGATCCTCCTCTGCGTCGACGTGTCGTGGCTCTCGCCATCGCTAGATCCGCTATACATCTCGTCACAGACGAAAGATGTTAGCTTTCAAATAGAGCAGAGAGATTAAACCCCTAAAAGAGGGAAGAGAGAGGTGAACAAAGGGAATTGCAAAAGCCCTAGTAGCCTTCTCTTTCCCCTCTCTCTCGAGCTCTCTGATCTACGGAGATCTAAAGCTTCTTCGAAGGTAACCAAAAGTTTCTCACTTTTTCAATTTTAGTCCTCAGATTTTGTAGTTCTTTTGATTATTACCTCGTTACTTTATAAAATCGTGATTTAGTACAAGAAGATGTATGCTCATACATGGGCTTGAGGCTGGGCTTCAACGATTTGTCCAGATGACTAGCTGGCGGTATTGAGTTACACAACAATATTGGAATTTTAACTAATCAAAGTCATGAGTAGATGGAGATGGTGTGTTGTTTAACTAGATACTCCAAATTGTTATCACCAATGTGGATGTTTGTGTAGTTATTTAAATTTAATTTAAAATGTAATTATAATACCTAGCCTTGAAATTCAAAATCTAAACTCCATATCCGATAATAGTTGTTTGATTGATTTGAAATAATTACTCTGTTCAATAACATATAGTATAATATTAGCATATAGAATAAAATAACTAGATAAACATAATACAGATTTTTTGAATTAAAAAAAAAAACATAATATACGCAATTAGCCGATTATTATTCATATGTGCATTTTGGAGGTAGTGATTTAAATCTCATTTGGATATTAATAAATTTTGGTACAATTCATATTTATATAGGTTTAATTCGATTATGAATACCTTTTATATCATATACAATTTTCAAAATAAATATATTTTAAAGTTCTCAAAATTTAATAATAAAAATAACAAACAACATAAATTTTATAATATATATTCAAATATCTAAATTTAACATATTTGAGTGAAAAAATCAAAAGAATATTTTGAATATCTCCAATATTTTAAATATTTTAAATTATTATCAAAGTTATTATGGAGTATTCTCTAAAACCTATAAAGTATTTGTAGTCATAAATGTATTTTGAATTACAATTATAGTTTTTACGACTTATATCAGAATATAATTTGAATTGATAATTTAAATAAATACAAACATAAACTGTATATAAATATAACACATAAAATTATACATAAAATTTTAATTATTATTAAATACATATGTAGAAAAAAAAATATATCGATTCTTTGAAAGAGCGGTTTAGAATGTAGTACAGAATAAAGAGATGGAGAGAGGTTGGAAGGCACATGGAGCGCACGAACATAATTTAGGAGATAACTATGATGTATCACGTCGCTCTAGGTGCCACGAGTGTGTTTGATCATCTGACTTTAATTTAAGAAAACGAATAGTGAACAAAAGGATCAGAGCTTAATTAGCACTTTCCAATTACCTACATCTAGAAGTAGTAAGTATACTTATTAAATTTACTGTCCACGAGTGTGGTAAAAAATAAAAGTATCATCCTCTCTGGTTTAGTACATACTGCAGGAAACAAACAAAAAAAAAAGAGAATATTTTCAAAAAAAAGTTGATTATTAATCGTAAATATGAATGGGTTGAATAAAAATATCAAATATGTTCACATTATTTTGTCGAGAATTTAGGTTGTAGATATCTTAACTTTAACCATTGGAACATTACAATTTTTCCTTTTCTATCAACAGCTGAAATTACAAACTTCCGTTTTTGATTTACAAAATATAGCTAAATGGTTTCTTCATGAATGCACATAAGTTTGGATCGATTTTTATTTTTCACTACCTGGATGTGCTGCTGAATTAAAATTTACTAAGAGCAAAAGAATGTAATAATATATAGTTATTATTTCTATCTCAAACAAAAAATAATAGTAATTACTATTTCAGTGGTAAACTAATAGTGAAGCCCCACTTGGCTTTTCAGTCACACTGTTTGGATCTCGTCAAAGTCCAAGTTCGTTCCAAAACCTTTACCCCTAAATCCAGGGACATCCTTTTGACACAAAATAATTTTTAAACAACATCAAAAATTATTAAATTTCAAAAGAAAAGGTTTTGGCTTTTTATTAGCTGTTCAAAATTTTCTGTGATTTTCTTTGCTTTTTTTTTTGAGAAATGTGAAGAAATTCTCCATTCCTAAACTCAAGAAAGCCTCGATCACATGGAACTTGACTAAAAGCTTTCACCCATAAGTGTTCAATAGTGCAATCCCAATATCGTGCGTGCGCAATGCCAAAATTGGATTTATCATATCATATTTTTCTCTCTCTCGTATCATAATGTTAATATGAATCATTTACCCTATTTCAAAAACCCACAGTATTATTTTCTTTCTTCGAGTGATTGAGGAAAATTTATACTAATATCTCTCAACGACTACATTAATTAATCCAATATCAATCAAATGTATACATACACTTATTAGTAGCTAATGATGTGTTGTTTATGTAATCTCATAAACTTTGTGACCAATACTGGTTATGACCCTTGATAATTTATAAGATATGAACGTGACCTACGTCTTTTTACGTAAATATAATCACGAACCAACTTCTAGTTCAAAGTGTATCATGTTCTTGAAAATACTTTATATAGGATGTAACTGACCACTAAAAATCAACTAAAATTATCTGTAGATGAATTGATAACGTTATCACTGATTTTAGTTTCACTGGTAATGAACGAAAAGTATGATGTATACTAGATGATAGTTAAATGGAAGGTAGTCCCACCTGAAGTTCATAATATGAGTGGATGAGTCAAGGGTCGTCAGATTCTTATATAGCTTAAACTTGTCTCTAACCCCAATTCTTGAATAATATTAATAGAATATTAACACACAAGAAAACTGGACATTTATTACTTTGTCATAATCATTGCATTTTAGACCTCTACGTAATTTGCAGATAAGAATTATTCTCCTCTAATATATTCTTGGAGTTCTGATACAAATCATTCCTAGCTATGCAGATTGTTTTTTGACAAAAAAAAGAGCTATGCAGATAGTTTAGCATATGGTATCCTATAACTAATTTCGGCATTATGGTTTCCTTAATTATATAAATATGCATAACAAACTTAATTTTTAGAAAACTAATCGTTATTAGTCCTTGCGCACAACATTTTTGCTGTGTTTGGTAAACTGAATTGCTAACACCAAGGAAGATAGTGACAGCGGTTATCATGGTCCGACCACGGTTACATCACTGCTGTATTAGTCAAAAGATAAAATCCTAAAAGAGCCAAAATATGTAGAACTATATAAAATATTAATTGTTTGACTAACTTTTATAAGAAAAGAACATAATTTTCATTCCCAATGCCATTTAGCAATGTGCAAAAAAGCTTGCCAGCAATTTTATAGTTCCAAATCTTAATACAAGGAGTTCATCACACTTTTGTACCGTAACCCCCATTCGGTTAAAATGCAAAACATTCATTCAAAAGAAGTTATAGTTTACGTGGCTTATGTGACATTAAAGGAGAGAAAAAGAGGAGAATTTGGCTAATCCTTTGGCGTACGACATCTTTTCAGCTAAAAGTATTACATCAACGTATCAAACGCAAGTGTTGCTCTCACTTGATAATCAAGTTTAATTAATTTCTCTAGTCTAAAACCGAAGTTCAACTGTTAGGGATCATAGTAAATTTTGAATTATTAATTACATTTTCGAACTCTGAGTTAGTCGTTTTTTTTCTTTAAGTTAAAGTCGTGTTGTAGTTTACTATGAAGAATTTTCTTGATTTCATGTTCGTCGGTAAGACATTAATTTATGTATGCGTTCAGATATGACGAACTACTGAAGCTCATGTGTACCCATATAATCCAAGAAAATTACAAACACAAAGAGACTAAGATTGTTGTTCACTTGTGTTTGTTTACATATAAGGACATCGATAGAACAATGTCCACTGAGATATTAAATTAAAAACCAAATTTAACCACTCCCATTGAATAAATCATTACAAGATGACAAGAAAAAAATCTATATATTCTCATTTCTATATCCGCTTAAAATGCGGTCACCATGTGATTTGACCAGGAGGCATCTGTACATGACTACATGTACGTTAATTACATTAGTACTTGTATTTGATTAACCAAACTAAACCACATTAAAATATGAAAGGGAAAAGCTAGAATGTTCATGTCGCTTGCTTGTCCGTTATAATATTATTATTTTTCAGAAAGTTAAGCTTACTGAAATTTAAATATACTTCAAATTGTTGATCACATTTGTTGGAATTCATGGCACCTTAGTCTTTAGGCCAATTATAATGGACCACCAAAACACCAAATTTAATATAATTTCATCTTTAATAGAACCCTAATAATTATATTATCCCAATAAATTTGGTGTAGAGTAAATAATATTATACTATTTATGACACCAATATTAAAATAATGTATATTATTATTTTTACTATATTAATTAATTTTAATTTATAATTACCAAAATACATCATATTATTTTGTATGTTTATTTGTATTTTTACATTTCTAAAGCATTATACTATTATTTTCTTTATATTTTAATTAATAAAATAATTAAATGAATATTATCAATTGCATTAAATTGTAACAGAAATGCCTTAGTACAGTTAATTTCTTACGCAACTTATTGTAATTAGCAATGCATATCACCTCAAATATATACCATTTATATTATCGATTTTTTACGTAGTCCCTTGACCTTTAGGTTATGATATATATGTAGGGTTATTATGCACATTGCACGTGACCACTAAGCAGATTATTTGAGTTAATTAATTAGCTTCATTTTAGTAAAATAAAATATTCAAATAGCATGATGTAATATATACATCACAAAGTGTTTTTAATAAATATTTTCTATATATATTCTTATTCTTTACTCTAAATCAAGATTGGTACTGTGACACTCCAGATTTTGCATTAGTTCCAATGATTTTTGCCCTCCTCCTTTGGCTTTCATAAGTACCCATCCGTACATAATACACATATATACTGTACGCTGTAAAATGTTAAGACTCCGGTGAACTATAATGGCAAGAAAACAGATTAATAAGACCAGGCAATTAAGATGTTTAAATTCGGACTAAACTTATATATAACTATTATAAAAATCCAACCAATGTTCCAACGTTAATTCATTTCTGTCGCTGACGCCTAAATAGAATATCTTCGGAAAAGTAGAAAAAAAAAAAACAAAAGGTAGTCTAAAAGCAGTTGAATCAAAAGTGAAGTCTCTCAAGTTCAATGTCTCTCTATTTATAACATCACTTCACTTCCATTCCCAAACAACACTCATCATCTTTAGTCAGAACCAAAGCAAAAAAAAAAAAACTTATTCATTATAACACATCTTCAACCAAAACCCTAAAACAAGGCTCCTTTCAAAAAACCCATTTCTTCATCATCATGTCAACTTCCAAAACCCTAGATCATATTAAGCCCTATGAAACACCCCAAACTCAAACAGGGTTTGCTATAATCCACCAGAACACAACCACAACGGCCACAACTGGAGAGAGACGAGGCCGGAGATCAAAGCAAGCAGAGCCAGGGAGGTTCCTAGGAGTCCGGAGACGTCCATGGGGTCGTTACGCAGCTGAGATAAGAGATCCAACCACCAAAGAACGTCACTGGCTTGGCACTTTCGACACTGCTCATGAAGCTGCTCTTGCCTACGATAGAGCAGCTCTTTCTATGAGAGGCACTCAAGGTCGAACTAACTTTATCTACACTCCAACTGATGTTCACACCATCCTCACAAACCCTAATCTCCACTCTCTCATCGTCTCTCCTTACAACAACAACCAATCTCTCTTACCAAACTCTTCTCCACAGTTTGTTATTGATCACCATCCTCATTATCAAAACTATCATCACCATCAGCAACTTAAAAACACTCTCCCCCAAACCGTTACACCCATTCTTCATCAAAACGCTGATATTCAAGCGTTTAATACTAGTCCTCAAAACTCATCTTCACTAGACGAAGAAAAAAACTTCTTCTCATTAAAAAATAACAACTCGGGTTACTTGGACTGCATTGTCCCAAACCATTGCCTTAAACCACCTCCGGAAACCACCACTACCCAAAGTCAAACCGGAGCTGGTTTCACAACTCAGGCAAGCAAAGCCTTTGACTCATACGGAGGGTTTAATAATAGTTACTTTGAAGATGGTGATATGATGATGATGACGATGATGAATCAGCATGAGTTTGGTTCGTGTGATCTCTCTGCCATGATAACTAACTATGGTGCTGCTGCTTCAGTGTCAATGGAGCCGCAAGATTTCTCTTCTGCGTCTTCTTCTTCTTCTATCGCTGCTTTTGGAGATGTTGCAGACATTACAGGCTTCTACTCGCTCTATTAGAACATTCATTTTAGTATTTCTGTTTTATTTTTATATTTCTGTAATGTATTTACGTTATTCCATGGGCTGATAGTTTTTTTTAAAACCTTATATTTTTATTTTTATTCTGCTTATTGTACCATGCAACATAAGGTTAGCTTAACATGAAATGTTATTTTTTGTTTCTTATTTTTGTAATTTTTAAGTTATGGTTTTGATTAGCAAAAGGTGTTACTGCGAGTTGTATTAAAGGCCACTTTTTGTCCATGCTTCTTCCAACACAATCATTAGGGGTATAAAAGTGTTATGTGTATGATAATAAAATCAAATGAATTACTCTAAAAAGATATTTGACTAGAAGTAAATACCCTCAGCTATCATTTTTTTTAGAGAATGTTAAATTTGTTCAAATGAAAAACTGCAATATTGATATTGAATTTTAGGTTTAATTAGTGAAGGATATAATGATATTTTACTTATTAATGGTAAATTTGATTAAAGTAGAAATGAAATATGGTACAAGAAAAGGGATAGATTAGACAAATTTCCTATAAACTTTCATAACGTTTATAAATCTGGCATTCTAATAAATTTAAGAGAGAGATGTGTATGATGAATTAAAGATAGGAGATTTGGCTTCAAAATTTGAATGTTTATTAGTAGTATAGCCAATGTGAGATGGACTTTTAGTGAAGTAGCATGATGGTGTTTTTGGTCTTTGGACATGTGTTTTGGTCATGACTTGTTTGGTCTTTAACTGCACAATCCACTGTTTCATGTCTCCCCCTTTTGCCTTAACTTTTGTCAACACCAACTCAACATCACAACTCTTTTTCTTCTTCTTAAATCTGTTTCTGTCTTTCTTTCTTAGAACTCAATCAGTCCCCTTTCCAATGCTGATCAAATTCACTGTATTTGTTAAATCAATCAAAGCTGTTATACATATGACATATCAAACCCACACACGTACACAAATATATATAATGTATTTGTTAAGTCAACCGTAAATCGTACGTATAAAAGCAAGTTTATACTTTATATCTTTGTCAGCCCTAACTATGGTAGATCGTTTAAGTAGTATAACTCAGAGGAAAGTCATTCAATGATCAAATAGTTTTTGGGTTGTTGAAAGCTTTTTGTTGTGATGTTTCAGTGACCAAACTCATGATTATGATTTTTTCGGTTGATTGAGTAAAACTAGACGCAACGAACAAAGTACACATGCACATGTTATATCACCCAACACAAAGATCGAAGTACGAGAATTACTGACTTCTATTTCCACATTAACAGTGATCCCGAGATCTGCTCTGTTCTACCTTTTTCATGTTCTTTCTCTTCTTGTTGCTGTTCCAAAAACAACTGGAATCGGATTGTTTCAACGGCTATTATTGTTTGCATTTATTATTCAACATATTTGATATTTTGCTTACCATTAGAAATGAAAAAAAGTCCAATTAATAGTATGCAAATGCAAAGTTAGACAAATTTTCACATTCGAGTTCGTGTTGTGCATGAACTGAAAGTTTATTTTTTGGTTTTGCTAAAAAGCATGAACTGAAAGTTTACAATATTTTTAAAAATGTTTAATAAAAACGTGAATATATGTACTCTCTTAGAGATAACATGGGATTTACACAATAACTAGGTGATTTTCCCGTGCTCATGAACATATATAAATATTTATAAAACAAATATATTATAATAATTGATTGATATTAACTTCAAATTTAAAATTAATTTATAATTTGTAGGTATAATTTATATTAATAATATTATATTAATTTAATTATATATAATTTTAGATATGTTATATTTCGTCAGTTTTATTGTTTTCACGGTTGATTTAGTTATCATTGAGATATATTAGATTCTATCTATTTCTCCGAATTCAACTATAATATTTTTTTATTCTAAATATATTAAATTTTTAATTAATTATCTTATTTGCATTTATGCCGGTTGTTATCTTAGAAATATAAGTATATCCTGATTCTAAATTACATACTTAAGTAACTAATAAATTTTTGCAAGCTTATGAACACATATCAATATTTAAAATATTTAGACTGATTAGATGGTAAAGTGAAATTTATTTTAAATAATTTTAAAAATAAGGATTCTCATTTGCTTAAGTATTTTGATTAAGGTTATATTAAGTTCCACAAACAGAAAGTTAAAAATCAAAAGAATTATTAAGAAAAAATATAATTTTAACTATTAAAATATAATATATCTACTTCGATAAATTATATAATGTTATGATATTTTAAGATAATTGTAGTTATTTGATCAAAAAATTTATTATTAAAATTAATTTTTAGTTTTGTTTTTAACATCTTTTAAAATATGCAGTAAAATAGTATTTTTTGAGAAATTATATTATATAAGTAAATAGAATTTATATTTTTCTGCTGTAATTGTAAGATATTATAGTCAAAAGTATACTAAAATAAAAAAAATATATTTCAAGAATACTAATTATAATTTTTTTTGTCAATTAAACATATATCAATTTATGTTACTTAATTATTTTATGTAATGATCTAATAAAATAGATATATACAAAAACAAATACTTTGAAAATCTATATATTTATTGTTTAAAATTACTTTTTTAAATAAAAAAAATATCTCTTTTTCTAATATAAAGATTAGTTGTGTGAACTTTCTTTATGGAATCACATTATATACAAATATTGTTTTTCATCTAAGAAGATATAGTTATAAAGTATTTTATTACTTCAAAATTATATTTTATGTTATTTAAAATAAATTTAAATTAAATATTACTATTTTGTGAACTTTCCATTTTTATGAAACCATATTTATATATACTTATATTTTTGTTTTTAAATAGTTTTGTAAACTTTATACATGTTTCCTTTTTATTTTATTGTTATTTGGAAAACATTAAAAGGAAATAATAATATTTAAATATATTTTTTAATTCATTAGGGATATCATAGTAATCAACCATCGTGAGAGTTAACATGAACGCGACACATAAGAAAGTGACTTCTCAAATAATATTATAGAGATATAAAACCAATCATGTAACTATGAAAACAAAACCAATCAAAAAGAAAAATCCTACTCTTTATTCCCATATTCCATAAAAACAAGGGATATTGAATAATGCCATTTATTAACAATAATCGTTTTGAAAAGTAGAAAAAAAATAAAAAAGAGATAAACAGAGATGGCAGTAAGAAGAAATCGTATGAACTTGGTAAGAGGTTCATTAACACACACAAAAAATATTTAGAGCTGCTTTCGTTTCTCCCTCTGCTTTTGCTTCTTGTTGTTGTCTCCACCCCAAAAAAAAAATCTCTAAGAAAGTTTGATGAAAAAGAAGAAGAGAGATAGATAGGCAAGCAAATTCTAAGAAGAGTAGAGTGAGGTTCTCTTCTCCCCTTTTGAGGTTTATCTCTTTAGCTTGAAGTCTTAACCTCAAGGCTAGCTGAGTCACCATTTTTGGTCTCAGTAGGCTCGGAATGGCTCACACCGACGGTCACAGAAGAAGAAGACGAAGAGACTCCAGCAGCAGTAACAGTTTCTGAGCCACCACTTGTTGTGCGTTGCTCATTCAAAGAAGAGGTCATGGAGTGGTCAAATTTGCATGAAGAGCCAAGCTTGCAAATCCCATGTTGCGCAAAGTGGCTACATTGTGCCGTCCCCTGCATATGATATTTACTATTAGCTTTCTCTTTTGTTATGACATGCACATTGCACGTGACCACTTAGTTGTTTCCTTAATCATATTAAGAAACAGAGTTTCTATAGGAAACTTATCATTGATTAATTCATTACCAACAACTCTAGTGTTGAGTCATGACGTAAAGCTAATATAAGCAAGATGCTAGGGAAATGAGACTTACAGGACGAAGTGGGAGGCCAATATGGCTGAGAGAAACTCCCTTGGGAGATGATTCTCCCAGAGGATGATGGTATCTACAAGAGGTTCCAAACTTACAATCTCCAGTTTTCAAGAAGTAGGTACACTCAGGTTGTCCAGGTCGCTGAGGAAACGATTGTTCCTTGTTTGAAGGTGAACCAGATTGATAAGCAGGAGCTGAGGGAGATAACGGTGTAGTTCCATAAACAGAGTTTTGTTGACTCCCAGGAGAAGATAGTCCACTTGCAGAAGCCTTAAGTAAAAATGGCAATGACGCTTTGTTAAGAAGACAAAAGAGAAAGATTAAGTAGAAAGAGCATATGAGCATTACCTGGTAAGAGTTCCAACCAACCATACCAGGAGGAGGAAGAACCATTTGGCTGTAAGTATTGTAAGGGCTTTGAACATAAGAGCCTGGTGGTAGAAGCTGAGGTCTTGGTAGAACTACTCCGAATTGTTGTGATGAAGGAAGCGATGGAGGTTGGGCACCAGGAGGAGCAGGATGGTGAAATTTACAAGTGGAACCGAATTTACACTGACCGGTTCTCATGTAATAGGAACATTCTTTCTCACACTGTGAAGTCCATTAAACATTGAGAGATCATACGTTACAGTACACCACAATGATCATACGTTATAGACCAGAGAGAGAGAGAGAGAGAGAGTGAACAAACCGGACGTAATGGGAAGCCCATGTGATTAAATGAGACAGGACTAGTAACAGAATCTCCTCCTCCTCCTTGTCCAGGATGGTGATACTTGCAAGAAGCACCAAACTTACATTCTCCTGTTCTCATAAAATGCTGTAAAAAAAAAAAAAAAAGAAGTGGACATTGGCTTCACTAAAATGTTACAACAAGGTTTAGTTGAGAAGCATATTATTGCATGAAACGATCAATCAGATAAGAAACCTGACACACGGGTTGACCCATTCTATCTGAAACCTCTCCAGCTTCTGTTCTGAGATCTCCCAAGACCTTTAAGAAGGAAACCAAAATAGCATCCAATTAAATAGCTTCCAAGAAAAAAATGAAGTCATAAGAGCATGATAAACCGGGGTTTTTAGAGTGGGGTTCTTAACAGAAATTAAGAAATTATTTCTTAACTTTTAACTAAAAAAGCTAGGGCTCTTTCTCTTTTGGGGGTCTAATTTTCTTTCTATCTGACATGACAAACTAATAGGAAGGGGATGGTTCTTTCATTGCGTTGATAGAAGTATAACTAGAAAAGAATGGAGAACTACTCTGGAGGATGAAAGAAAGAGACAGGGAACAAAGCAGAACCGGTTCTTAAATAAATACTTTAAGAACCGATTCTTAGTTTTTTTTTTAGTTATAACTAGAAAAGAATGGAGAACTACTCTGGAGGATGAAAGAAAGAGACAGGGAACAAAGCAGAACCGGTTCTTAAATAAATACTTTAAGAACCGATTCTTAGTTTTTTTTTTAGTTAAAGGTTAAAAAACAATTTCTTAACTTCTGATAAGAACCATATTCTAAGAATCTCGAGTTAATATGTTTTTCAGTGATATCAGAGCATAGATTTCAACAATGCATCTGATTAAAAACTAACATAAAGGGTCTAACCGGTGACTAAGGAATGAAAGGAAAAAATGCATTCTTTATCATTCCTAATTTGTTTTACCATTTATAAGGATTAATTCTTCCTTTCTATTCATTTCCATTCCTTGTATTCTAGTGGAATATAGAACAAATTTATTCCTCAACAAAATTGGTAAGGAATAATTTTCCTTTTCATTCCTATAATTTTATTCCTCTACATTTTTTTTCCTATTCATTCCTAATGTTTCTATGATGGTCACCAATTAGACCCAAAGACTTGCATCAGAAATCGGACACATCAGACAAAAAAGGCAGTAACAGAGAGAGTGAGAGAGAATATTATTACGGGTGGACGGTTTGGTGGGTGATTGAACTGACATCTAGACCCGTACCCGCAAACACCGGTTCGTAAATAATAAACACAATCTGGCTCATCTGGTCTCTCCGGGTACGATCCGCCTCGCAACCCTAACCGTGACATCGAAGCTACAAAAACACCCGCATTTAAAATAAAAATGAAAAAATTCTCATCAAATCATTAACGTTACCTTCGATACCGGTTTCAGTTTCTGGATCCGACCGTGATCCTTCTTCTACTGTCTGATCGTCAGGCTCCATGACGCTCTTTCTTTCTCGCGGCGACACAAGGCAATGTCGAGCTCCGATCAAATGGAGTGTCGGAAAGGAATTTTTTGTTTATTTTGGAGAAAAGGACAAAAAAATGGTACAGATCGTAGTTAGTTTGGTTCTGTCTTAACACAACTCTGTGTGTAAAAGAATTTAAGTTTTGTTTTCGGCTGCGAACATTATTATTGTTTATTTGTTGGTTTGGATCTAGGAAGGGAAGGGATGTGTTTGATCGGTTCTTTAAGCGTGGTAGCCTCTTTTGTGGGTGTTTTGCCGGTGTTGGTTAATATAACGCGCCAAACATACTATCAATCACTTCTCTTTATTATTATTTTATTCCTTTGAAATATTATTTTATATTTGAATTAGTGTTTGGTTATTAAAGTTTAATAATGTTTAATATCTAAGGAATAAAACTAGAGAAAAATTTAAGATTTTGAGTTAGTTAATATTTTTAATAAAAAAAATTAATGATATCTAAAATATTTGTGCTAAAATGTATATTATTGCAAATAAAGGTACCCTTTCAATATTATAATTTTTGGTTATGTCTATTGTATATACCATCATTGATTTTCCTAAAAATTCAGTATTTAATTAATATATACATTTCTTTTAAAAATTGAAAATGATTGTTTGAAAAACTCTGTCGGTTCAAGATGCAAATATAGCAACAGGACAATTCTATCAAAATCATGTCATGCGTGAGAAAAGTAAATCGGAAACATTAACTCATGTGTTATTTATTAACTGATGTTAACATTTTTTTTTTGTTTCCTCAACCAACCATTCCATCTGGCTGGTCTGCTAATCAGTACTTTTAATCTTATCTATAGATAAAGCTGTTTAGTCACTATTCGTTACTACACTGCTCAACCATATAGAATGTGATCAAATCCTCTTTGCTTTTGTACTTGGGGATGAGATTCAACTTCATTGGATACGAATTGATGCATGTAAAGTTGTTAACTGTTTTATGAATAATATTTCTCCCGATTACAAAACCATATTAATCGACAAGTTGCACAAGTTAATTGAATCTTTGGGCATATCGAATTTTATTGTCGTTTTGTTTTGGTCGTCTTGAAATAATTGAAGATTGTGTCTCCTCTGGTTCCCTGGAAGTGGTACAAACGGCTATACTCATGAGCGTTGTTATGTAAACTGTCCAGCAATGACCTGATCCAGATCACTACTAACTGGAACTTGGTCTCATAATCATGATCAAAAAGGCTAAAAGCACAATCAAAAAAGCTATATGTTCTAAAACCATGCACACAAAACTCCAGTCTCAGATTTATAATCCAAATAAAGCTGGATAAAAGAAGAATGCTCATGACCCTAATCTTTAAAAACCATCGGACTAATCGATCAATTAAGAAGCATACACATAGCGGTGATTGAGTTAATTTGTTCAGATACCCATTTATACCATCTTTATCAAAGAGACTAAAGCTTCAACTTCTTGTTGGGTCTTTTCAACTTGGCATTTCAGATATCCAAAAGTAACGTAAAAAGACTTTATAAAATCATGTGGAAGAAAAACGAAAAAGCAAGTAGAAAGATGAGATAAGAAAAAGGGATGTGAGGGAGATAACCTTATGCTTTTTGTTAAGCTTAGTGTTCTCTATCTTATCGTCATAATTAAGAAGATACCTAAACATGACGAACAAGACATATGAATCAGATAAATACCTCGACGTCTTCAAATGAGGCAACGTGTTGGCTTCTTCTTCCTGAACTCGAAGCCTCCACCTGAGACCAGTAGATTAACATAATGCCTTCACATTCGATACTTAGTAGAGATTCTGAAAGACTAATTCTGCCATATAATACATATTCCCCTAGTAATATAACCAATGCATGTATTTTTTTCATACGGATTGGCTCGATCGGATTTAAGTAAATCATCTCCTTATTAGCGTGTTATGTTGTATTCACCAACGACTAAACGAGTATTAGTGAAGTGAGCATAATTTAGTCCACAGTTTTCATGCAACAAGTCAAGTCACTATGCATTTTTCATCTAACGAATGGTAAGTATGATTTTTAAGCTCTTTTAAAGCTACTTTGGAGGTGAGAGTTGGCTTGGATACTAATTTTTTCTTAAGCATAAAGCTAAAGTAGCTCTCAACCCTAAAGCAAACCAAGGTCCAAAATACTAGAAAATATAGGATACATGATGAGAACCAGATGTGATTCTCCTTGTATTCACGCTTTGAATTCAATACTTATCGACTGAATGAGCACAAGTAATAAACTGTGAAGAGCGTCGTAAATAGCCGGTTGCGTTTAACAATATCATGATTAGCAATAGACCTGATAAACTAACAACGTATTCCACAAGCAAGCAAACTACACTGTCGTTTTATCACAAAGACATTACATATCCTACAAAACCTGGTCCAAAAACAAACCTACATTGCAATACGTAGAGAAAGCATATGATAATACAACAAACAAATAAACACTATACAAGCAAATGGTGTTGATGGAAACAAACTAAAACCATTTTTCTCAAACACAACAAACAATGAACACTCTTGCTCTTCACTCTCCTTATTACCAAAGAACAAAAGAACCAATATGACAATAACACATAAGATCTGGAGAAGAATAAGGACTTGCTTCAACTTCACTGACAATTTACACCTTGCTTACTTATCTTATCTCCAGCTTCAGGCTTTAGGTCATGGTACTCACTCTTGTCAGTGTCTGTGCTGTTCCTTGGAGGATCTGAATCTCTTGTGTTCTGGCTCCTTCGTTTTCTCCTATCCTGAAATCCTCAAAAATTGGTAGAGCTTTCAACAACCAAACTCAACAAAGAAACTATCATTTTAAGCTGTGATTTTTTTTCTTCTATTCATATACCTCTCTAGGAATTGGGTACTCCTCGGATTCAAGCATACGTGCAACTTGGCTCATCCTCGGTCGTTTCTCTGACATTGGATCGACACATCTCAAAGCAGTCAAGAGTGTTCTCTTTAAGGCACTTGTAGATGGTTTTGTGTTGAGGTTTGGGTCAACCACTTCTTCTGATCTTCTTTGTTGAACCATCATCTTCAGCCATTCTACCAAATGTACCTACAAAATGAAAGTTTAGACAACTCTTGTGAGGGAGCAGAGCATATGCGTGTCTTAAGGTTTCTTTTAACAAAGTTTAAGAGACTTCTTACCTCAGGTGGTGGACGAGCATAGTCTACTGGATATCTACCAGTTATAGCTTCCAAGAGTACAACACCAAAACTGTAGACATCACTCTTCTCATTCAGAAGACCAGAATTCGCATACTCTGGAGCTACATAACTGAAAGCAAGAGGAACAATTTATGTCCTAAGGCCAACAATTACACAAAAAGTGTACACAGAGAGGCCACAACACTTACCCAAATGTACCCATTACTCTAGTAGTTATAAAGCTTTTATCAGCACCAAGCAGCTTAGCAAGTCCAAAGTCAGAGATCTTAGAATTGAATTTGTCATCAATCAGAATGTTGCTAGACTTTATGTCTCTATGCACCACTTTTGGCTCAATCGCCTCGTGAAGGTAAGCAAGCCTGCATCACACCCACCACCCCCAATCACCTCAGATGAAGATGATAAACAAAAATTAAATAAAGCTGTCACAAAACTTACGCTTTGGCTGTTCCTATAAGAATCTTCATCCGTGCGTCCCACGTTAGATACTCATGGTTTTGATTGTCTCCACGTAGCCATTGCTCTAAGTTCCCATTGTTAACATACTCATACACCAGCATCCTAATCAAGTGTTAACGCATCTTATGTTCAGTGAAATTTTAGAAGGAAATCATTTAAAGTAGAACATACACATACCTCTGTGTTCCTTCCATGCAATATCCAAGAAGACGGACCAAGTTCTTGTGGCGAACATGACCTATAGCTTCAACCTCTACTCTGAAGTCTTTGTCAGCTTGCCCTCTACAAACAACAAAACATCACCATTAAAAAAAACAGATTCTGAAAATGAAATCTTGAATCTTGATTCACTTACAGATTGTTGAGCAACTTCTTAACAGCAACAGGAGTACCATTAACAAGGTTACCACGGTACACAACTCCATACCCACCATCACCAATGATACTATCCCTCGAGAACTGGTTTGTAGCCATCTGAAGATCTCTAAGAGTGAACCAATGACCCCATCCGAGGTGAGAAAACTCTGGAAGACCAGACAAAGGAGAAGGAGCTGTCAAATGATTAGCAGAAGACACGCTTGAACCATCTTTCTTCTCCATGTGATTAAACGAGCCTGATCTGCTACTATCACCATTCTCTGACTCTGCTACTACTACTGCTGCTACCCCTTTTTCAGATTCTTTATCACCAAACTTCTCACTAATAGATGGATATCCATTGGTATCTCCGTTGGTTGATGAAACCTCATCGACTCTAATCTCTTTAATCTCTTCAGGAACACTAGAAGGTATCTGGTAGCTAACAGGGATTTGGCTAGAAGATGGTTTAGACTTTTTTCTTCTGAAAGTAAGCCATATAGATACAGCTAGAACTATAAGGAAAATAGCTGAGAGAACAATCACTATGATCTCCCAAAGCTCCAAACCATTGTACTTCCGAGATAATGCGTTGTTTAAACCAGTTCCCATCTTCCTACTTCTGCTTTATTTACCTGAAAAAGGACTAGTAGAACCGAAGAGTTTAGAGCTCAAGAACACTCAACATTTTTATAAACATAACTTTGTGTTGCTGATTAAACAAAGAATACGCAATCAAAGTAACCGATAATAGAGTTCAAACTAGAAAGGAACAAGCAAAAAAGACAAGAACTTGAACAGAGACTAAAGGAAAAAAAATCAGATTCATACAAACAAGCATTATGTCTATGTCCCAAATAATATTGCCAGCTGCAAGATTTTAAGTTCTCAGACCAAACACCAGCTAAACATTAAGCTGGAAAGAAAACTACATGCGAACAAAAATAAAACTCCTCAGCAAGCTAATCTAGAGGCAAAAAAATCGCTACCGACAATAGAAACTTATCAGAAAGTCAGAAGTCCATCACATTGTCTGATAAACACGGTTAAGCAAATCAAAGAAGACCAAAGAGGCAAAGAACTTACAATTATAAAACTAGGGTTCTGAAATGAGAGAGAAGCAAACCTGATGGGTGAGGGTTTCAGAGAGGCATGGAAAGGAAAAAGTCAGATCTTAAGTAGCATTGACTAGAAAGTTCCTTGCTTTGGATCTTTGTAGGGAGGGAGGGAGGAGGGATCTCTCTAGCCTACAGACAAGACCTAAGATGAAAAAAAGGGAACAAGAAAAAATAAAAGACCAGAGAAAGATTGAAGCTTTACCCTGTTGACGACCGACGAAAACGAAACGAACAAAGGTGGAGACTTTTTTGGATTTGTGACGGACAAAGACTTACTCAAAAGTTAAAAAAGTTATTTTGCTACAGACTGTAAGCTGATATGGAATGTCAAAACTAAATCTAATTTACTCTGTTGACAAAAGCAAATCTCATTAGCTCTTTTTGTCTTAAATTGTTGAACGAGGATGTCTTTTTTTTGGTCTGTCTGTTTCTAAATAAACTTGAAATTAATGCCATTTATATCTAAATAAATTTGAAATTAATGTCATTTATTTACTTATCTACCAATGTAGAATTACCGCTGATGTTTTGTTTTCCCTCAAGTAATTATTAAAATACTGTTGTATATCTATTTACCAATGTAGTAATTATTCTTATTTAGTTTAGACACGTTGTTGATTATTTACCAGTGTTTTGTATAAAATCTTGTTTGGTATGGCTCAAACATCAGAAATATTGCACGTATATGTATAATCTAACATTTGTATAATGAAATTTTTATAAATTAATAATGTTAGGATTACAACAAAATTATAACTTTTATTATTTTATAGAAACTATTAATTTATCGATATACTAATTGTATCAAAAATTAATTTGAAACTATAAAATAATATTATTTTGCAGAGATTTTTAATATATATTAATTTATATAATATTAATTTAAAGAAATTCTATGTATATTTAACTATTAAATTATAGAAATTTTGATTATTTCTATTTCTACTTTAATTTAATCTTAAAAATGAGACTTAATTATTCGCAAGCGAACTCAAAATCCAACTGAATACACATTTAGAAAAAAATTTAAACAAACTTTGTAATACGATTATTTAGATATAAAATATAATCAAATTTAAAATGTTATATAATGAGTAAATCATAGAATTTCAAGTTACCAAAATTAGCATATTATCAATAATATCACGCATAGAGAATAAATATGTGCAGTTTAGCCCATTTAGGTCAAAATAGGAAATATTTAGTTTTATCTTTATTAACCATGAAAATGACTTTTGTAATTGTTTTTTTTTTTTTTATTTCAACGACTTTTATAATTGTTACTTTATTAATTTATAGTTAAAAGTAAAAATAAAAAATTGAAAACTGCATTTTTTTTGTCAATTGAAAACTGCATTAATCATAAAATATTATTTATTTTGTAAAAATAAATTTTACTCAACAACAACGTTTAATATAAAAATTATTGAATAAATTAAATATATTACGGTAGACTTGGTCGTAGGATATAAACACTTCCTCGGTTTCTAAAACGACGGCGGTGAAAGGAAGAGAGAGAAGTCTCAGACACAGACAGAACAGCAAAGGAGGAACAGACATAACATAACAACGAAGAAGTTTCAAAAATCTATTTTTCAAACGTATACTTTCCTTAAATTAAGATCTTGGCTAATCAAAGTTTCTCTCACAAAGTTAGATCCGAACGATCACTATGGTGAGAGACAAGGCGAGTCTCTATATTCTCCTGTTCTCAATCTTCCTCCTTTCCAAGGGTTCCTTTGGATCTGAATCAAGAAGTAAGGAAGCTTACGTCACACTCTTATACGGTGATGAGTTCTTATTAGGAGTTAGAGTATTAGGCAAATCGATTCGTGACACTGGATCCGACAAAGATATGGTCGCTTTGGTCTCTGATGGTGTCTCAGATTACTCTAAGAAGCTACTCAAGGTTTGTGAGAGCTTAAAAATCTTGTCTTTTTCATTACAAAGATGTTTGCTTTTGTTGATTGTTTGGATACTACAGGCTGATGGATGGAAAGTGGAGAAGATCAGTTTGTTAGCAAATCCGAACCAAGTTCATCCGACAAGGTTCTGGGGTGTTTATACAAAGCTCAAGATCTTTAACATGACAGATTACAAGAAAGGTAGAGTCTTTAGTGTTTCTTGTTTGGATTCTTGTTTGAGAATTTTAAATTTTAAAGCTTTGTGTGTTTTTGTGCAGTTGTGTATCTTGATGCTGATACTATTGTGGTAAAGAACATTGATGATCTGTTCAAGTGCTCCAAGTTTTGCGCAAACTTGAAGCATTCAGAGAGGTTGAACTCTGGTGTCATGGTTGTTGAACCATCCGAAGCTCTTTTTAATGATATGATGAGGAAAGTGAAGACTTTGTCTTCTTATACTGGAGGAGATCAGGGGTTCTTGAATTCTTACTATCCAGATTTTCAAAATGCTCGTGTTTTCGATCCTAGTTTAAGCCCTGAAGAGCTGAAAACTAGACCAGTTCCTGATATGGAGAGGCTTTCAACGTTATATAATGCTGATGTTGGTCTCTATATGCTTGCTAATAAGGTATGCTTGGCTTTCTCGGTTAGGAAACAGAACTGTGTGCTTAGCCTTTGGTATCTATTTGGTTCTGTCTTCATTTTTACTGTTAAGTTCTATTGCTTAGTGTGGTATTGATGTGTGATATTGGAGTATGTAGGGTCAATTTCGGATTGATTTGTAATCTGTTTAAGTTATTTTTGTGCAGTGGATGGTTGATGACAGTAAACTTCATGTTATTCACTACACTCTAGGCCCTCTCAAGCCTTGGGACTGGTGGACAGCGTGGCTTGTGAAGCCTGTTGAGGCCTGGCATGTTGGTCCTCTTCTTCTCTTTAGTTTTGAGTTTTCTTTCTTCTAACTTTGAGTCTTATATCTCCGCAAAATTTTTTCAGAGCATTAGAGTAAATCTTGAGGAAACTCTTCCTGGAACTGGAGGTGGCAAAAACCAAAACGATGAACTAGCTGTCAAGTTCCTTTTCTTGTTACCTCTTTGTGCGCTTTTGTTCTGCATTTACCGATCCATTCAGGTTAAAGACTTTCTCTGTTGTTGTTGCCTTCACCTCTGCTACATTCATCCTTCTTGGATTACAAATTCATTTTCCCCTTTTATTCTCTTTCAGGTCCATGAGGGTTCATTGTTCAATCAGATTAGATATCTTTATTACAAAATTAGATCTAATGGAACTCTTGGTTATAACGGTGTTTCTTCATTATCCACCATGAATCCTAGCTATCAAGTGAGTTTCATCATCAAGTCATTGTTTTAAAATATTGTTTTAAAAAGTTTGTATCTCATTTGAACATCTTGCATTGCTTTGTGTGTATACAGTCCAAGGTTCCTCAACACTTAGGCGCGGTTTCAGTTGTAGTCTGTTTCACCGCTCTTCTGATATCCGTTGGAGTTTCCTTTCTGATTGTGCCAAGGCAAATCATGCCATGGACTGGCTTGATCTTGGTATACGAATGGGCTTTTACAATCTTCTTTCTTTTGTTTGGTTGCTTCTTGCTTTTGGTGCATCAACATGGAAAGAAAATGGCAGTTTATACAGATTCATCGTCCTTGGATGATTCAGGAAAAGGTATGGCAATGAGAAGATTCGTAACGTTCTCCACAGAGTTGAGTGATTTCAAGCGTTTATGTTTTTTTTTGGTCTCAACAGGTCATCAGAGAGGAGGCGTGTCTTGTGACGTTACTACATTGTATTATGGATGTGGGATGGTGTTTCTGGCTATTGCTGCAGTTTCTTTGCCTTATATATTAGGCATCACTGCTTTATTTGTGAGGTAATGGTCATAATAAACTATAGCTTGGCATGGTTCTTGTTACTGATCCAACACATTCTTGTCCCTTTACACTTTGACTTGTTTAATCCCTTATTTACAAATTGAGCAGGTTGGGTTTAATGGTGGGTGTAGCCATAGTTTTAGCTGCCTTCATGACTTATGCTTCAGAGCACCTCGCCATCAGATGGTTCTTGAAAGGTTTAGAAGACCGTCGTGAAACATCGAGATCAAGGTCCGTATGTTTCATGTGCTGACACCACAAAAAGCAGTCACCTGAGTATATGTGTCACCATTGTAACTTGAGAAACAGACATAGCATATGATCTGATTTTTTTTTTTTTTTTTTGTAGTTGTGTCTTAAGATTGTTATATAGTTTTGTAGCTTTGTTATTTCTTTATCATCATGTCTCTCTGTCTTCTCTGTGCTCACATGTACAGATCATTACCTATTACTGAAGAGTTATTTATCATCATTTCTCTGTTGTCTCTTCTCTTCCTTACATTTGTGCAGATTATTATTCATACTGAATAGCTCACTTATGAAAGATTTACAGATACTTCTTTCCAAGTGTTTTACTAAAGTCTCTTCCACTAACTCAGACCAAAAACTGGGTTACGGTTGAGGTCATATCTTTCTTTGGACAGCTAAAGTTTTATAAGCTCTGTTTCTTTTATATTTGACCCTTTAAATGTCAAGTAACATATTACTTTGATACTATTATCTGATTTTGATATAGTTTCAGGGAAGATAATATCATTGGAAACGATCGACCCATGTGGTCCCAAGACCTCATATACGTATATATAAATACATTTATTTGTATACTGAATTTTAAGGTTGTCTCCAAACGAGTTTATCAGTTCCAAGAAGTAGGGGAGCAGAAGAAGAACAAGTGTCGCATCTTCAACGATGTAAGAGTGACACTAATCCCCACCTCTTAGAGCAAAATTATTGGGGTCCTTGTTTTGGGTCTTTAATACACATATATATATATATATATATGTATATATTATATATGTGTATATGGTTGTAGGTTAAGGATTCTACGGAAAACCAAACCGAAAGTTCCTTAATTAAGAAATTTTCAGTTTGAGTTTCTGTAAAGTACTTAACTCGTAATTATATACTTATTCTCTCAAAAACGAAACAAAAACATCTGCCTCAGACATAAATATATGGATATGAAACAATAAAATCATTTTTTTATAATTTTATTTTGGTTTTTTTTTAGAATATAGAAATGTCGAAACTAAACTCCAAAATGTGATACAACAAAATAGACTCCTACTTAAGGTATTTAAATGAATCATAAAATAAATTCATATCCATAAGACCCAAAATAAAACGTACTGAAATATCTTCAAATCCAAGTTGTTTACCAATCCAAAATCTAATTGTCACTGCCATCTTATAATTTCTTTATAAACTTTAATATTACCATTGAAAAATAAAATTTAGCATTATTAGTCTATTATTTCCTCTTTCACAATTTACTTGTTGTTTGAGATATTTACACACAGATTAAAAAAACATTTAGTTTTACATATTTTAAAAAAAACATAATTACCTATACACCTAAATATATTTCAACCAATAGAAAAATATAATAGTGGATAAAACCAATAAATTTTGCATTAAAATTATAAAATGATTCTTATTTTAAAACGAAATTTTTAATTTATAACAACAACTAAATAGAAATGAAATGACTTTTAATTTTGAATTGATACCCACATTTTACAATATACATTCAATACTAATAATTTTACAATAAAATCTGAACATATTAATTATAATATGATTTTGTAATACTAAGTAAACTCGACTAAAGTCTAAATCACTTTAACAAAAAAATAACAAAAAGTCCAAAATCATAAACTCTACCTCCTAAACCTAAAAACCTAGATCTTCTTAGATTCACTTTTCTAATTATTTTCATATTTGACAAAAATAAATTTAGTTTTGATAAAAAGAACTTTAATATAGATTCAAAACAGATATTTACTTTACAAAATTGAGAAATTATGACGATGCTAAAATTCCAACAGTACACTAAAAAAAACGGCTTTCTAAAAGACTGCAAACCTTCGGAGCGGAGAAGAAGTATCGGTCAAGCTCAGTAATCCCCTTCTTATTATTTGAGGAGAATTTTTGCAAATAAACCTTTAGTTCATGTGTTTATTACATGCATGCCATTTCCTACGTGGCAACTCCACAAGCCTTCTCACACCTTTTAACTAAAAGACCTTAGTTAACTAGAATAATTACACAACATGCCATTGATGCCATTGATATAAATATATGATACAATATATGATATATATGATATATATATAACCGCGGATTGGCTAAAGTATGATGAAGATAGCATGAATATATTTCCTTATATATTTCCTTATATACGATACGATATATTTTGTTACATAAGTATGATATATTTCCTGATATAAGTATTTTGTCATCACCTACGATATATTTCAAAATATATTTCGTTACATGAAGTATAAATAAAAATAGGGAAAAAATGCGACCTTATTTCATAATTAGGCATATATTTAAATTTTAAATATAATATTTTATATTTTATAAAATCGAACTTTATATTTTATATTTGGACAATATTTGATGTACAAAATACTATTGTCTTCAACTTCAAAATATATTTCGTTACATAAGTATAAATAAAAATAGGAAAAAAATGCGACCTTATTTCATAATTAGGCATATATTTAAATTTTAAATATAATATTTTATATTTTATAAAATCGAACTTTATAAAATATTTCGACAATATTCGATGTACAAAATACTATTATCTTCAACNAAAATATATTTCGTTACATAAGTATAAATAAAAATAGGAAAAAAATGCGACCTTATTTCATAATTAGGCATATATTTAAATTTTAAATATAATATTTTATATTTTATAAAATCGAACTTTATAAAATATTTCGACAATATTCGATGTACAAAATACTATTATCTTCAACTTCAATTAACATTAATGACCGAATCTGCATATATTCTATTTCAGTCATATAATTTTAGCAACTAAATCTCGGAATGTTTTTATTAGGTAAACGGTTTAATGGTTTCTTTCCATTTGAATGTCAATCAGCTATATATAATATTCTGAATTAATATTCTATTTCATAATTAGGCATATATTCTATTTCAGTCACATAATTTTAGCAACTAAATCTCGGAATGTTTTTATTAGGTAAACGGTTTAATGGTTTCTTTCCATTTGAATGTCAATCAGCTATACAAAATATTTTTCGACAATGTCAACTAAAATTAATGACCTAATCTGCATAGATATTTCTAATATTGAATGAATATATTTCAGTCACATAATTTTAGCAACTAAATCTCGGAATGTTTTTATTAGGTTAACAGTTTAATGGTTTCTTTCCATTTGAATGTCAATCAGCTATATATAATATTCTGAATTAAATGATATTGCCATAAATTGGAATTTCCTTGATAGACAAGCAAAAATCGCAAATGTAAATGCTATTTAAACATATATAACTCGAGTTGTAAAGGTCCATTCGATATTCAGACAAGCAAGAATAAACCTACACATCTTCTATGGCCGCCATGAACCTTATATCTGAGTTGAAGCCTTTCAAGAACCAATGGAAGGTTCAAGTGAAAATTGTCCGCCTTTGGAAAGAGTATTCTGCAGCTGCTGGGGAGACTATCGAAATGGTCTTCCTCAATGCTAGAGTAAGTTAATTTTTTTAGAAATGATTGAGTTTTATTCTATTTCTCTTTTTGACGTATGAAGTTTACTTATTTAATTTAATAATTTTTTCTAGGGAGACAAGATAGCTGGAACCGTGAAAAGAGAACTGGTGGGGCAATTCGATTGTCTGGTACAAGAGTTATGTTTATGGAGCTATAGTAGGAGTAGGATTTCTTGAAGAATATATGACGGAACCTACTCAGTCAAACAATGGTTTCATGGACCATAAAATACGTTTTTTTCTACTAAACATGGAGTAAGTTTTCTACATTTTAACAAAATGATTTACTTAGTATATTGATATTTTCTGAAATCCCCTATATATTAATTGAGGAACATTTGAAAAGATATAACCTCAATTTTGTATTAATTAAAAGAGGCCCCAATGCATAGGTGTCATTCAATTATGTAGTCAATTAGATTCAATTGAAAAATAAGTAAGTCCACATTGGATTTTTATAGATTGCTAGATACATTAGTTAGTCAAACTATATGATATAATGATATGATATGCTATTTTCTTTCCATAAATAAAACCTACAGAATTACCATAAATGACTAATATATATATATGACACTTAATGATTGTTCCCTAAGATATAATTACTATTTTATTTTATTTCATAAATAAAACCTACGGAATTACCATAAATGGCTAATATATATATATATATATATATATATATATGACACTTAATGATTCTAATAATAAATACTTGATAACAGTTTATATATCCTTCATCATTTTTCTTTAATTTTATATTATTAAAATAAATTAAACAATCAAATTAGCTATAAAATCAAACTTTAGATTTTTTCGTATAGGTTATATTTTGAATTTAAAAAATGAGAATAAATAACTAAACTATTAAAATTATTATGTTAAAAATTAATGATCAATAGTTTAACATTTTATTATAAAAAGATATACATGATTTTAAAACCATATAAGTAAAAAGTATCATTCAATAATAAAACAAATATATATATACAGATTAAACTATATACCATATAAGATTACATAAATATTTTAATTTCAAAATNCATATAAGTAAAAAGTATCATTCAATAATAAAACAAATATATATATACAGATTAAACTATATACCATATAAGATTACATAAATATTTTAATTTCAAAATTTTCAATAAATTTTCAAGAACATTTATAAATTATAAACTTATTAAATTTTTCACATTGAAATTTTTTGTTATCAATGATTTAAATATCTTAGTTCTTTTTATAATTTTATATTTTTAAAAGATATTAACAATCGATAATATGGTTATTTTTGGTATATACCATACAAACCGAATAGATATAAAAACCATAGGATTTGAATATGGTTTGATTTATAATCGATTAAACTGAAACATGTAAATATGTATATATTTATAACGACGCATGAATATCTATTTGTTACATGAGTTGAACTATAATTATAATTTGTAAATAGCTAACAATTTATTACAACTAAGACTTCTTATTTTGATCTTTTGCTTTTTTAACAGTAACTAAATTGAAGTAAAGATTATAAATTTGATGGACAGCAATTAGTTGAAATTCTTTACAACTTTTTTTTATCTTTAAACAAACAGAGTTGTATTCAATCGAACACATATTGGTTTGATGAACACTAAATATGGAAGAATATAAAAACTTTTCTTTCATGCTTCTGTTTTGTTTTTTATTTTTATTTTCAAAATTTAGTGTTTTGATATTAATTCTAGATTTGATTTTTTTATTAGATGATATACGCTTTTTATTTTTATTCCTTTATTTAAATATATAATATTTTTTTTAATAAATGACTATGTGACAATATGACTCTAAATATGATCATATTATATATTTTTATAATATATAATATGATTCAAATTAAATAATTATGTTTTTTGGTATAAAATTGAATAAACTGAAAACCGATGGTATATAAACCAAATCAAACTGAAGTACATATATATTTAGAATAGTAGTTATATTTTAATGATCGAAATACCAAAAAATCGAGCCGAACTGAAACCCGATATCCGGATTGAACACCTCTAATCCGAATGAAACCGAACTATTGTTTCATTTTTAAAAACATAATAAAAATAATAGTTTCATCCCGCGCAAGGCGCGGGTCTTATCCTAGTATGTTATTATACATTGATCACAGTAATGTTGTCGTTAAGTGTGTTGCA